GCTGTAGATGACACTCCTTCAACGAGCACTCGAAAATTATCAGCACAGTTTAATACGTCGAAAACAATAGTGCATGATGTTCTTTAAGAACAGCTGTTATATACTTATCATATGCAAAAAGTGCATAAACTTATTTCTGAAGATTTTCCTTGTAGAATGCAGTTTGCAAACTGGCTATTGGATCAGCAACAAAATAATGTAAACTTCATTAGCACTATTCTTACCAGCCATTACCACTTGAAACCCGCCTAAACATGTACTTCTTGCACGATGGGGCACCACCTCATTTCAGCGTTGCTGTGCGGGAGCACTTGAATAACGTTTATCCAAACCGTTGGATAGGTAGAGGAGGACCTATTGACTGGCCTCCTCGATTTCCCGACCTTAGGTTGATGGATTTTTTCCTGTGGGGATACCTAAAAAAACTTAGTGTATTCCACTCCGATAGATACTAGGGAGGAACTTCTACAGATCAATTCTGGGTTATTCTGGCGGGTACAGCAGTCCTCAATTCGTCGTGCCCGCGAATGTATCAGAGTTCACGGAACCCATGTTGAACCCTCTTATAAAGTTTTTAATTAATTGTTTCGAATAATCGTCCTTTAATTTAAGGTTTGCAACAATACGTTATATTATTTTTTATGGTCCTTTTTATTAAAAATAAAACATGAATTCGTTTATTATTCTTTTTCTCAAAAACGGTTCATTTTATTGACAATAAACAAGATTACCTTTATTTTAGTTTAAGGTTCAAGCTATGCAGATTTAGTTTTTTGAAGTCTTTTTCATACGGGGTGTTCAAAATTTAAGTATTAAGAAGTAAAACTTAGTCCGCCCCTGGTAAACAAAAAAAGCAAAACATGTTTCAATGACACTATTTTAAGAGGTCCTTACTAGGGTCCATCATATTAAATTTTTATTAAATTATATTTAGTACTTTAAAAGTTATTTAAGGAAAACCAATTTGCAGGGGAGTCGTTTCTGGGCCCATGTCTCCGTAAGGATGGCCAGTAGGAAAAAAAATTATAGGAACGTGTCATCTTATTTTTTCATGTTCTATCTGAATCCGAGAGATTTCCCACATTTTCCCGGACACCCTGTATATTAGTACATTGTTTGCACAGTGTTAGTACATTGTTTAAAGACATTATGCAAAGCTTCAGTCTATCTTACGCATGTCACATTTTATATACACTGTTAGCACGCTTTAATATTTCTCATTTATGACGCTTATATTACACCTTTTTACACATTGTTTGTACAGTTTTAGCGATCACTCAACAGTTTAAGCACATTTTATATAGGTATATCTCGCTTGAGTTGGGGTACAATATTTATTTAAAAGGTGAGGTACCTAGATTCCATCTTATGTATCGATTCTCGGCCTATTGCTAAGATCAAAGCAATCCCCTTCGTGGAGTTGACAGTGCAGGTATTTTTCTTAATAAAATACAGTATGTAGGAACTACATTGTGGGTATTTTTTTTTAAATTTTTTTGAAAAAAATATTTATTTAATTAATATTATTATAAGGATATTTATATTTCAATTATGTGTGAATTTAAAAGACTTTATAGGTCACCAAAAAGAATCTGTTTTAATAATAGGCACACAGGTGGCAAGAAACAGTGTGCAAACAATGTGAAAAATCAAAAGGAGTTCCCTTTAGAACATTGTCCAGTGATTATTCACACTTTTAAATTTTTGGTTTTGCACATTGTTTCATGTTCCATTTCCCACCCTCCGCACATCATTTTTTTAAAAGATTGCACATTGTTGGCACATTGTTCTCAAATAATTTTGCACACTTTTTGCACATTTTATTTTCGCCAGGGAAGTACACACCACTATATATATAAGTACACAACTACCACTAAGCACAGAAACCCATAGATTATAAAAGAAACCGACTAATAAAAAAACGACATTAAATAGCGTCCAAAGACTTGTTTTTTCTTTATGATGGCGTCACAACCATTCGAACAAGGACTTCGCTATTTTAAAGTATTGGGAATAATCAATTAGCAGATTCCTTTTTATAATCTCACACTGGGAATGCCCAATTGAATTCAATTGGGAATTACCTATGGGTAGCTTTAAACCATCGAAACCACTAAAAACAGTAGAATCCTAATTGGACTTATCCATATTTTAAAGTATTGGAAATAACCAATTAGCAGATTCCTTTCTAGAATCTTACACTGGGAAGGCCCAATTGAATTCAATTGAAAATTACCTAGCTTTAACCAATCGAAACCACTTAAAAACATTAGAATCCTAATCGGAGTTCTCCATCATGAAAAATGCCAGTAAAAACCATATTCTGTTTTATATCGCTCCCAATTAAACCCAGTAGGTAAATCAAATTCAGACCTACCTATTGATACCAACCAATACTTTAATTGGTTTCTACGAGTATAAGGAATTATAATTATAATCGGTCATTTACAACAGGGACTTTATCGATAAAATTCTTAATTCCTTGGTTTGAAGGCGCCTTATTTCTTCCAAACTTTGTACGCAATTTTCGCGCCGTCTCGGCAACCACAGAGTCACACTCAAAGTAAGTTTTGAATATTTCAAAACGTTGATCCAGACTAAAGCGATGCATATTCTGTTAGCGAAAGGATAAAACTAAACCCCTACCCTGCTTAAAATACCCCATAGAGACCTTACAAAATAATCTATCGGGCGCTACCGGATTCAATATGTGCATTTGTAGAAAATGTATAGGAAATTACCGATAGGCACACCATAACATTTACATTTTCCCTATTGAGACCGATAGAAAATAACTCAATGAAGGATATATGGGTATATCCCTATAGAGCAACCATAAAACATTTGACAAAGTTTTATTAAAACCTATAGGGTCCTATGGGGGAAAAAGTAATTTCTACATTTTTGTGTATTTTCCCCATTGAAACCAATAGCAAATAAATCAAGGGTGGATATCCCTATAGAACAACCATAAATCCCAACAATGGGTCCTATACATACCGATACACCCTATAGAAACACCATACATTCCGATACAAATATCTATCGGTTTGAACAAGGTCTCTATGTGGTATTTTAAGCAGGGTAGACCAAACCAGGACTAATTAGTGGGTTAAACCACTGTCAACAATTAATGACAGTTAAATTGACAACTACATTAATAACACGAACAACATATAGATGGCCCACCCTTTAGAAAAAAACATGTTTTAATGCATTCAATCACTCAAATTGTGCAATCTCCCAACAAGTGAAAATACAGTGAATAAAGGATACGGAAGTAATTAAGCAAGAAGTAGTATGTGACTGCATACCTGGCGGATTCACCGCAGTCCAATAGGAATCACTTTACGTGAAGAACAGACTAGTCTAACCAAGGGGCCATCGTCTGAAAAAACCGATAAATACTCATAATTAACATAATACAATTTTGCAACAAAAACTTTTACAACCCCCTGGCGAAAATAAAGCGTGCACGAAAAGTGTGCAATAAGTGTGTATTTAGAGTGCAAGTCTTTATAACAATGCGCATAGACGCTATTTTGTGGTAATGTCACACTTTTTGAAATAATATAGTTTTTTCACTCTTTATGCACATTAACATCACGCTTTTTATTTGTCACTAGTCACGCTTATATTAAAATATTTTTTTGCACATTGTTTGCACAGTTTTAGTACATTGTTTAAAGACAATTTTGCAAAGCTTCAGTCTATCTTACGCATGTCACATTTTATACACACTGTTAATGTGCTATAAAAAGGTGTAATATAAGCGTGATAAATGGTAAATTTTTGGTTTTGCACATTGTTTCATGTTCCATTTCCCACCCTCTGCACATTGTTCTCAAATAATTTTGCACACTTTTTGCACATTTCATTTTCGCCAGGGCCTCAAGGGCGGTTATTTCTGCGTAAAGATATCAACCAGAAAAAATAAACAATACATTGAGCACTAGCAAAATGAGAACCAAGATAATAGCACCAAACCAATGTAAAAAATATATATAAACAAGTCGTTTTGTACTAGGGTCAAATTTGCGGAACAGTGTAAATAAAACAATCAAGTAAGAATATAAAATTTAATAAAACTAAAATAAACAACTGACACTTAAAATTTATTAAACGAGCAGACATTTAAGAAATAACCTAGTCAATACATCCGTATAAAGGGAAATTATTTCCCTATTACACTGATGACAATTAAGGATTACGCACAGTGGGGTAAAATAATTTGTGTATATTTGTGTATATCTGTAACTATTTACAGCTTGTAAAAAAACGACTGACTAAACAGCTGCATATTATGCAATAACCTGACGTGGACGGCAATACTTCGGTACCAAAGAAAAGTTAAGGATTTTGCAGTGGGGCAATAATTTGTAAACCGATGTTTCAAACTTTTCGTTCATCGCGGTAAAAACGCCTGGCTGAATCTTCTATGAAGTCGGTACTGAGAACGAAGGACAAGGTAGCTGTAGATAGCTTAAAAAAATAACGCCTGGCTAATATGGCTAAATCTTTTTTAAAGTCAGCACTTAGAATGAGCACTTGAATCTTCCTTGGAATCAGCTGGATGTTGCGATAACCCGATGTGGACGGCAATACTTCGCTACTAAAGACAAGAAACGGTTTTCGCACAGTGGGGCGAACGATTTGTATATAGCAATTTCCAAATTTTCAGCATAATATTCAGCAGGGACACGGACGCAGACAAACAAAAAATACCTCAAGAAGCACGATTATTAACCACCCATTCATGAACCCCAATTGAACGTGGGTATTACTAATCCCTGGTCTAGGGGCATTCCGGATTGTACTTAGTTTTGGGTCAGTCTATCTACCACCGAAAACCAAAAGGTTTCCCCCCCTTGTCCCAAACTCCACTAGCCTAATTCGGGCGTTCTTATTTAAATAAAGACTTAAACTATGAAAAATTGTAGTTTCTTATTAAAAAATAAAAAAGAACAACAAATTTCACATTTTTTATTAAATATTAGTCGCAAAAATTCAATGATTTTGGCGATTTCGTTAATTATACTACATCCTGTAAGAAACAAATAGCTACCTATCCGATTTGTTGAAACTTTGGTCTAGGCGAACTGTGTACATGTTTAAATATGATAACGCAGTCTAAATACGCAAACATTTGTTTAATAAATAATTTATTACCAAGTATTATTTATATATTAGACAATAGTCTTCATTATAATTTTTAAAGCAAATTTGATTTAAAATCATTTGTAATATCTCTCAAAATGTAATCCATAGCCGCTGTATTATCCGATGGTACCTAAAAAAGTTACATTGAAATCAATATTTTAATAATTGCCAATTATAAAAACAGGAAAACAAAATTTAAATATTTAACATTTTATACTTAAAAAAGTTTAATTTTTACAGGGTGCGCCATAAAAAACGCACACATTTCGAAGCAAAATTTATCTGCAGTGGAACAAGCTAGAATGTCTGTTTTGGTCTCATTTGAAAGAAAAACTCCAAAAGTTTTGTAACGATATTTTACAAAAATATATATACAGGGTGTAAAAAAATGCCCTTAATGAAAAATAAGGAAAAAAGGGAATTAGGGAGTAATGATTAACACGAACTGCTCATGTTGATTAAATTATGGCCGTTTCTCCTCACACATTCTTTCAACCAAGGCTGCACATTTCCCATCATGTTTCGCAACATCTGATGTTTTCCTTCATGGATTCCACATTTGGAGGGTTATTTATATACACCCTACTTTTTAAGTATCCCCAGAGCAAAAAATCACATTGTGTGAGGTCACACGACCTTGGTGGCCATTGATATAAGACGGTCTGGAAACATTTGCCTTAAAAAGTCTAGGGATATTCTGTCCGTGTGACAAGTCCCTGTCCTGCTGAAACCAAATTGTGTCAGCAGGAAAACGGCGCATCTCTGGGTGAACAAATGTATGTTACATGTGCACATAGCGATCTGCATTCACGGTGAGATTATGTCCGTTTTCATCCACAAAAAGTAAGGTCCAATTATTTCTCGCACGGATACTGCGCACCAAATAGTCACTTTTTGGCTGTGCAGAGGAATATGATTGATTTCTTTACGATTCTCTTTAGACCAATAGCGGCAATTCTGCTTATTCACATATCCCGACAGGTGACACATTATGAATCAGGTTTGGTGTGTTGTTTAAACGTTAAAGAAAATCTTCACAGAAAACAAGCCTTGATGCAAAATCACGTTCGGTCATTTCTTGCACCAGCTGAAAATGTAAATTTTTGCCCAGTATTCTCCGCAAACTGCAGTACATGGTACAGGAAATTTGAAGATCTTGCAAATGTCGCCTGACTGACCGTTTTGGTCTTCTTAAAAATGCAGCTTTGAACATTTATTGCAGTCTTTGTTGACACTGGTCGACCTGTGGGTTTGGCATTTAAAGCTGATGCAGTTTTTCTAAACCCATTTACCCATCGCATTCTATGTGGCGAAATCAAATTGAAACGTGTTGTAAACTGGTGCTGGGTTAAAGTCACAGAATCATTATTTTTGAAAAACCGTTCAATAACGAATGATCTGTGTTCGCGTGAATTGTTCATCTCTTCAAAAATGTCAAAACACTGATTGTTGATTATTAAAGTTATTTTGTCTATTTCCATAGCTACCAAGAGGCCTGCAATACGAATCTTCTGCGAAAAATCTAAAAAAGTTGAAAATAGAAATAAACATTTTTTTTCAATGATCACTTGTCTTTAATCGATACTAAAGCATACCAAAAAAAACTATTTGAGTTTTTCTTTCAAATAAGATCACAAAGGAAGTTCTAGCTAGCATTTTGAAGCGAAATTTCTCAGCAGTACTGCTGGTGCAAGCTAGCTTGCACCAGCAGTACTGCTGAGAAATTTCGCTTCAAAATGTGTGCGGTATTTATGGCGCACTCTGTATAACTTATTCACCATAAAAATAAATAATTATCGAGTTTTTGTACGCTCGAATAAAAAATAACAAAGTAAGCTATTTTTATACTACAGTTAAAAAATGAACATATTGTTCTATTAGTCGCACAACAAAAAGAAAGACAATAATTGTAAAAAATTAGTTACAGCTATTTTTACATTCTGATGATACAATGTATATGTCATACTTACGTTAAAATGATTTTCAACAAAATTGTACTTGTAGGTACTAATTACTAATTTTTATTTAAAGAAATAAAGAAGAAATAATTTAAATGAAAAAAGTGAGGTTAATTTCTTTTGACAGATTTTAGGTAGTAGGTTGTATGACAGGCGACTATTGTTTTGCAATTGATTAGCTGTTTGTTATTGTTAATGATAAACGTTTGTGGGATGTGTGCAACTCGTGAAGAATGTTCGATTCTAAATTCGCATTCTTTCTACTCTCGCTTCGCTTCCGCATCAAAGGAACGCCCATTCAGAACAGATCAATCGTTGCACAATAAACTATTATTTTAGTACATTTTAAAAGAATTTTGGTTTGACTGAAAAATACTTTTTACAATAAGTTACAGAACACTTTTTAAATTGAATTTTTCCCATTTTAAAATTATTTAACCAAAAAACAAAATTGTGTCATACACTGCAAGAAGAACTTTATGAAATTTGGCTTCGCATAAAATTTAATTATATTTATTTTAATTCTGCTGTATTTTATAAGCAAATCACTGATTTGAAATCAGGCAGGTTAGTTTAACAGAAAACTAAATATTAGATATTGATATTTACCATGTGTCCTGCTCGGTTTACCCAATAAAAAGCTAAATTGTCTTGTTTCCTAACATAACCTTCGTTTATGCCATTAATAGAAAATACCTCTCTTTCGGATTCTTTCCACTGTTTGGAACCAACCCATTGCAACTTATCCACCCAATTAACAGTTCCTTAAAAATAAATGTTTTTGTCTTTATCATGAAAAATCATTAATAACAAAATCTTACCCGGTGTATCTACTATTAAATCTAACTGTCCATTAAAAATTGCAATCCTAATATCGGTGGTATTTAATAACTCCTCCACTAAAATAAAAATCACGTCATAAGATAACAGAACGGATTTTTAATTAACTTTTATGTACCTATGGACGTTGCCGGTTTCATAAAATCCTGCCATAAAAATAGAAATACTTCCCCATTTTGAGCTCCCCATTCGTTTGTTACATTTAAAGCTACACTAACGTTATTTTTCATTAAGGACTCCAGTTTGTTTTCGTTAATAGGTTCAAATGTTCCTTCTGGTTTAAAAAGAAGCCCTAAAATATATTTTTGAAAAATTGTTTTACTTGTACATAATGCAAATGATGATCAAAAGTCTTGGTTTAGGATAAATATAATTTAAAGTTCTGTTACTTTTAGACTTCAGGTACTTAATATTCTTAAACAAAAAAATTAGGAGTTCATATATATCGTATAGATTCCAGTTCCAGTGGATTTGCTAAACACTTAAAGCTTTTAAGTTAAAAGTCTGCAAAAGCAATAGTTTACCATGTAAACGCAATGCAGTTAGCCACTCTTTTACTTTTGAACGGCAGAAGAGTCTTACAAGTTTTTGTTTTGGCATACTATTTTTAAACAAAAAACAGACTATATTTTTCCAAGGTTTTTGACGTGATGATTTCAAATTCTTGAATTGGTCCAATAATATTTAAGCTCGTATTTAAGGGGTTACATACATTTGTGCTAGGTCAAAAAATCGACATATACTTTTAAGAATATGTACCTACTCAAAATTTGATCAAGATCGAATTAATTAAAATTTTCATTTCTATTTTTTTCGGCCGGAAAATTTTTGTTCCCTCCAATTTTTTTTTGGGAAAATCACCGCCATTTGCGTGAACATTTTTTTTCTGCGAAACCCTTCGTTCACGAAGGGGGTGATACTATGTAATAATATGGTTTTTTATCTGTTGGGCGGTTTTCGATATTTCATGCTCACCGCAAACGCTTGAAAAGAAAATACTTCGAAACATACCCTATTCCACAATTCACATGGATTGTGCCCTATTCGATGCTTTATACTTCGTTTCAATTATTATATACCAAAAAAAATCCGTTAATTTTTACGAGCCTATATGTATGTAGCCCCTTAAGGTTATAGGTATTACATCAAAAGGTATTTTTTCTTTAAAACGCTCCTTACGCCCACTAAAATAGCTTTCCTTCAAAATCCTTTTAGAATTTTTTTAATATGTTTTTTCTCTTCGAGAAATTATTAATTAAAATTTATTTGGTTTGATTAATTTTTTTATAATTTTTAATAGAAAGCGTAGTACCTTTATCATAACAACCAGTTTGATGCATCATGGATAAAAATGATTTCGTGATAAAAATAAAACGTTATTTTTACTTTTGAGTCAGGAGGTATGACCTATGTATCCGTAACACTTTTGAAAAAATCATTATTTTCCAGCTAATCAGAACTTTTTATACATCTGATAAATTTCAAACTACCAGTTACACCGCCTCTTCGATGACTCGTGACGAGTCACTCGTCTTGATATAGATCTGGGTATTATTTTATATGTTACTCAGTAAGTACAACATACATATTGTGTATGTATAAAATAGGTTTTATGTAAATAGAGTATTTACCTCTTACATCAACATCTTTTGGTAAAGGCCTTACTTTTGCAAGTACGTTATAAAAATCAATTCCTGAAGTAACTTCAGTTATAGCTCCTTCTGTTTGGCCCCATAGAGAAGTTGCTTCCTGATATTTTCCATTTTCAAAAGCCTTTTTGGTTTTATTTGCCATATCTTCGATAACATCGTAACCATTTTGGTCGATAGCACCCTAAATACAAAAAAATTATAATATAACGTCCGAGCCAATATACAGAAAGTTAAAAAACCGATTTTTAAAGGAGAGATTTAAAATTTTATCTCTTTAAAGCTCAATTTATATGACAGAGTATTCTTTTTTCAAAGAAATCGAGCTTTAATAACAATGCAGATGAAAATTCGGCTGTTAAAATCTTTAAACGGGTCTCCTTTAAAGTCAGGTTTTTGTTTTTGAGTATAGTTCTTTATTTTTCATTAAAAATATACCAATTGTAATAAATATGGCGCCCAACTCATAACTGTATCAACTGGAGATATCCATGCATCTCCCAATCCAATTCCTTTAAAATTACATTCAATTTTACCGTTGGTGATGGCCTAAAATTTAAAAAACCCTATTTATTACTTCATGTTACATATTAATATTTGTTTTATTAACCTGAGATAGCACCAATGCTATTTCAACCGTCATTTTTCCTCCATAAGATTCGCTAAAAATATACAAAGGAGTACTTTTGAATTCTGGATTTTGTTCGTAAAAATCATTTAAAAATATCAGAAAATCTTCAGCAATTTCTCTATTGTTTTTTGTTAGGGATTTAGTTTTTTCAACGTAACTGAATCCAGTACCAACAGGATTATCAACAAATAACACGTTGACATTTTTAACCCATGTTGAATTTCTGGGATTTAATTCTATGTCAAGTGGACCTTAAATAAATAAAATTGTATTAGTTTAATTAGATTTTTTTGGGGTCCGGCGTCTGGTATTAAAAATATATTATCAATTTAAAAATATAAAAACACTTTTGGAATAACAAACTGTATGTACAATATAGAGTTTAATAAAGAAGGTTTATTCAACTCCCAATTTATTTCTTTCTGGGCGAAATTTTAATTCTCACACTAGTGGGCAAAATGGCATTTCGCAAGATTTAAGTTAGTTAAATTTGGAAAAAGGTAAGGTTAAAACTAATTGACAGCTGTCAGATGTCAAATTATATATTGTGTGCGACTATTGGTCAAAAGAGGAGATTCCACTTGCGTGTTACCTCAATCGCTATGCTCGTGCGGCAAACTCCACGCTCGAGGAATCTCCTATTTCTCCCACTAGTCGTACAATATACTATTATTTATGTTAAGATACATTAAGCATTTAAATTTGTCAAGAATCCAATAGAAAACATAAATAAAAATAATAATAAATATGTATGGGGCAGTCCGTAAATCTAATGACGCTGAAGGCGTAGGTTTATTTAAAACGTTACGTGAGAAATCTTATGAAATTATCTATTTGTTTCATTTTTAGTCAGATTATTACAAAGAATCGAAAACATTTTTATCGAGTATGGGAGAGTTCCATAATTCGTCACATGACCCTTCAGGGGGTCTTTACATCGTCACATTCTGTCACGGGTCAATTTTGACCATTTTTAGAGTCATGAGAATTATGGACGGCCCCTAGTACCTAGCATCTGGAATTTATAATAAAAATATGTATTAAAAACATTTAGACTAATTATAAATAACAATAAATATGATGTAGAAGTAACATAGGCAACATGTAAGAGGCCCTAGAAGTTATTGCTCTACCTAGGGCCTTAAAATTACAAAAATCTAAGGTGTGGTAGTTCACAAATTTAAGTAGGTAGGACATTAAATAATTTTACACAGTAATAGTTTGCTCTAACTGAACCCACTTTTAGTCTCAGTGAGTCAGGGTATACTGTTTTACAGTTTCTAGTGTTGTAAACCCGCTAGGGTAGGAGCAGTTAAAAACTGGGTAGAATATCTTAGTTTTTTAGAAATCACAGTCAAATTTTGAATTAGTAGAAAATGACCATGGTTAACCATGGGATTCCATGGTATCCCCAACATTTAAGACAATTCTTATGTAAAATTGTCCTCTGAATCCGAAAATACCGTCAAAAATTATGAAAGTAGAGCAGTTTTTGAGATATAGTCAATTCCATATTTTATGGAAAATCCACTATCTCAAATCCACTATCTCAAAAACTGTTCAACTTGACGCCATTTTCGGATTCAGGGGACAATTTTACATGGAAATTATCTGATTAATGTTCGAGATACAAATTGCTATTGACGCGAATTATTAGTGGCTGATTTTTCGCCATGTAAATTAGTCATTTTTGACTAATTCATTTTTAGAGAGTGCGCGATTGAACCCAACTTAAGATATATTTTCAGTGATACAATTTAAGAATAATAAGCTTGCTAATAATTCAAAATTCACAATAACTATAAATTTAAAAAAAATGGTGACCGGTAAATGTCTGCTTATTGTCCACTTAGATGCAAATAAAGTGTCGGACATTGGTCAACACAAGTCCGACGAAAGTGTGGACGAAAGTCTGGCGTTTATAAAACTTGATACCTACATTATATACCATTATATAATTTAATAATATTTAAAATTTAATTATTATTTATGCACATTTCATTTTATATTATTAATAATTTTTGTTATTTATATTGTATCTTATGGAATTGTCTTGTTTAAATTTTAAACTTAATTCTCTATACCTCGTATTACTTTGTGACATATCGTGTAAAATTTAATTAAATCGATCTTATTCTATTCTATTCTATTCTAATATTGTATAACAAAGTGTAAAATAGGCAACTTAGATTTTTTATTTTTTACCTTATCGCGAATAAGAAAAAGAGTATTAATAAATGGTGGACTATACCCACCTATTTCTGCAAAATTTCCGAAAGCGGTCGATGATGCTCCTGGCCCCCCTTGCAACCAGATAACCAAGGGTCGATCCCTATAATTTTCTACCCCAGCAGTTGTGTAATACAGCCAATAAAACATGTGTGCATGATCCCTTATTTTTATGTGCCCCCATTTTTGCTGATCGTTTCCCAATAGTGAATTTGCTAAAATTTATAATTAATTTGGTAAAAATATATATTTATTAGGGCAAATTTAATGAATATTTAAACAAAAAACTATTTTTTATTTGTTACATCAGTAAAACATTAAATTTAATATTAGGAAGTATTATTAGTTTGTCCTTTTTCAAAACGACATAACTTTTTTGTTTCTTTAAAGATTTTATTTTGGTCTGTGATATCTGCTAGCCTCAGCAGTTCATGCTATAGATATGAAGCTCACGGTTCTTTAAGTAAATTTCGTACAGGGTGATATGTAAAAAGGTGAAAAATTCTTCCAAGCCCCGTTTGAAAGAAGAAATATTTGTTTTAGTTTTTACTTTAAAATAATGAAGTATTATGTCTTAACTTGAAAAGGTTTTCAAATTTTTCCAATTGGAATCTTAGCAACGAAAATATAATTTTTTTTCCAAAAGAGTACATTTAATGGTATTAATCGTATTTTATTGAGACATTTAACAGCCAGGAATTGTTTTCGAATCACAATTAGGAGGTCAAAATTATGAAGAAAACATGTCACGAACGTAAATATCGGTTTAGGTTTAGTTTTCTCAAATTTTCACTAAAATGTTATTTTGAAAAAGTGGTATTTGCTTAGGCCCTCTGAAAATAACTGAAGTTTGTTGCTTGTCGCTTGTTCAGAATTATTTAAGGAACATTATTTCAACATCTTTTCTTCTTGTTCCTAAAAATAATGAGTGTATTGCCTACAAAAAAACCTTAAATGTACTCTTTTAAAAAAAAATCATATTTTCGTTGCTAAGATTTCAATTCGAAATTTTTTATAAACGCTACAAGGTAAGACATAATACTTCATTATTTTAAAGTAAAAACGAGAAATTTTTTTTTTTTACAAACGGGGCTAGTATGAAGTTATTAAAATTTTTCACCGTTTAACATATCACCCTGTAGGAAATTTACTTAAAGAACCGTGAGCTTCATATCTATAGTATGAATTGCCAAAGGATCAGGCTAGCAGACAACACAGACGAAAATAAAATAGTTCAAGAAACAAAAAAGTTATGTCGTTTTAAAAAAAAACGAACTTGCGCAGTTTATATTAAATATATAGGTTAAATATTATTTTTTTCTAAAATTTTACCTCATTAATAGGGATTAAAAAGAAAAGTAAATAAGTATACCTACTTACCACTTACAAGTCCGATCACTAAAAACAACAAAAAATATCTGTCCATGTTTGTTTTAACTAAACTAAAATTTTAAAAGAATGTCAGGTCTTTAAATAAGAAGTGAATATCTACAATCTTTGTCCATGGTCGTAACATCAGTCGATCTGTTTTTATAAATAAACTTAATTATTTACAATTTAACTTAATTTGTAAACTGTTGCGTTGTTTAACTTTATTAATAATATTGTTCTTTGTAAATACATAGTGTGTACAATGTACTGTACTGTACTGTACTGTACTGTACTGTACTGTACTGTACTGTACTGTACTGTACTGTACTGTACTGTACTGTACATAGATCAGTAGATCTATATAAGAGAATAAATATAACAAAAGAGGAACTATAAAACAATTTTGTCCTGCTAAGCATACCGGATGTCTTTATAATACAAAGGAAAAAAGATTATTTTAATAGTTAAAAAGAATAAAAATTCATTTTTGTCCTTTATTACTTTATATTGTCAATTGAAGTCAAAAGTGAATACAAAATGCAAGTAATATTAATTAATTCAAAAAAGCGAAAGAGGAAAAAAGATTATTTTTATAGTTAAAAAGAATAAAAATTCATTTTTGTCCTTCATTACTTTATATTTTCAATTGAAGTCAAAAGTGAATACAAAATATAAGTAATATTAATTTATTCAAAAAAGCGTAAAATTTCATTATTTGGAGATTTCTTTGTTCATGCACTGGACCCCTCAGTTATTGTGACGCCTATGGATTAAATTTTAATTTTATGCATTTATGCTAATCTTTACTTAAAAAATAACCGTGTTTTACATAACTGTATCTCACTTAATTTGTTGTTTGACACGGTAACTTCGTGATACAAATATCTTCAGGTTTTGTTTTAAAAAAAATACACTTTGCAAGAACAACTTTGTTACAGCGCTAAATTTAAATTTAGATTTTTAAAATAAATGATATAAATTAAACGAAATAAATACTGTCTTAAATAAAATTATGTTAACCTAATAAATAGTTTAATGGGCGTTTCAGGGACTTTGTTAAGGGGTGTGGACAGGGCCGTCTTAAGCAGCAGGTAAAATTAATTTACGATAAACTTCTTTATGTGAATAGTGTGAAGCTGTAAACGCAAGCATTTAAAAACATGTTGTGCCCAGGTTATTTAGATTGTTAACACAATTGTGTTCTAGGTTATTTTCAAGGTAATTATGCAGAATTTATTGTATTAAAAATTAATTAATTAACCAAAATAAACCAAAACATTTCAGGGTGTTAAGTATCAAATTGGGGACATCTGTGATGTTTTAGTGAATATATCTAATGATTAATTCGCTTCTATGTGCTAAATTCAACTATTGTATCGTGCTTGACCGTTTAAGATAGGGAGTTACAAGTGTGTCTTCAGGAGTACCTTAGGTTCCTTATTGTTTTTAATTTATACGTCGGATATCTTTAGATCAGTCTTTTATTCCAAAAGGCAAACCTTTGCTGACGATACTCAACTTCTGTACTCTTTTAATCCAAGCACCCCTTATTTGGCTAATACCAACATTAATTCAGATCTAAGAGCTTTATCTTACTATGCTTACACATAATCTTAAATTTAAACCCTTCCAAATGTACAGTTGGGAGCAATAGCTCAGTAGCAACCTCAAAAATTGTTTGCGGTCAGAGTCATAGCTTCGCCTACTCTAGGATCTTAACCAATGTAAAACGGTGGTATACCACGCAACGGCTGCAAGCGAATATGCACATGACTGTACCTACCTAATTTTTAGTAATAATAAATATAAATAAGATATAAAATCCAACCTACATTTGAAAATTGACGACAATCCCATTACGCCTAGTAAAACAGCTAAAAACCTGGGAATTATCTTAAATTGCGATTACAAGAATATAATAATATTAATTCTCTTAAAAAAATCTCATTAGGCACTAAAACTTTTATATACTAACTAAAAAATTATAAAAAAGTTGGTGGACATTTGTTCTACCTTTTCTGAACTATGGGATAATTTTCTACTATACATGCATTGATCAATTAAATAAAAATAGAGTAAAAATTCAAAATTCTTGTGCCAGGTTTGTATATGGCCTTCACAGATATGGCTGAATTTCTAGCAGAATTAATGATGAAAACCTTTTTTAAATATCATTTATCTCTCTTCACTTATAACGTACATCTTTAACACCTTTTTATCTTTGTAAGAAGCTTATCTTCAGACAAAATCTACACGACTTAAATATAACTACCCCTGCCAAGATTCCGATCAGCCATTTTTACGAGATCATTTTCATACAATGCACATTTTAGTATAATGCCATTGATAATAATATTAAATCTTTATCAGAACATCCCTTTTGCAAGGAATAAAATCATATTATTTTTCCTTACAAACTTGTTTTGTTCTTTTTTTAGGTTATAGTTGGGCTAAGTTAGATTAAGAATTAGGTTAGTAAGGGTTAAGTGGAGTAGCCGGGCTGGACTTTTAATTAATGTATGCATTAATTAATAAAGATATTGTTATTATTATTTAAACTGTACGGTAGGGTGGAGTGAATTTTTTTTTATTTATTAATTGATTTTTCCTATATTATTAATTGTTGACTAAAGGCGTAAAATGAATAAAGATCGAAAAAATATTCCAATTTTTTAATATCTCGAGGTGGCGCATCTGCCTCGAAGTTTTGAAAATTCTAAAAAAATATTACTTCAATCAAAGTAATAAAAATGGCATTAATTATAAATAAAAAGTTTATTTTAGTAAAATTAACGTGAAACGTAAACATTTTTAATAGTAAATCATATGCTTTAAGTAACTTCAGGAGTGTTTATTGGTAGAAATTAGATCTTCTTTTTCGCGAAAATACTGATATTTGGTATCAAAATTTGGCAATTAAACTGATCAAAAAAAGTTAAGCATATTTTTGAACAAAGTTGAAATGAAATCGAATAGAGACTGATACCTATAATGCGTTTTTTCGACTTCGTTTTTTTTTTGTCTAAGATTCTTTTATTTTTACGTTTTTATTACCAAATAATAAAATAAAGTATACAGGGCGTATAAAATTGTATCGTTAAATTTATGTTTTGGTCAAAATATCTTAATATGCTTAACTTTATTCGATTAGTTTATTTTCTGACTTTAATTCTTGTTCTGATGAAACCATCTCTTGCTTCCGATCCACAAACCGAGACTGAAGATTCAGTATACTGGTTATAACCAGTTTTACACAGCGTTCCACTGCTTGGGTGTGACACGGAAATTTTTGGAAGTATAGGAAATGTTCACCCGGTGATGCGCCACCTCAAGATATTAAAAAATTGGAATATTTTTTCGATATTTATTCATTTTACACCTTTATTCAATAATTAATAATATAGGAAAAATCAATTAATAAAAAAAATTCACTCCACCCTACTGTACGGCTAGGAATTAAGCGGATATCTTGGCAAAAAAATTAAAAGGTTTGATTTTTTGGTATGCATTGTATTTTTTTACGACGTTTTAAATAAAATCAACATAGTTAGCAAGCTTTTCCAGAGCCCGGATTTAAATATTGTTAAGTTTACTCAATCTTTTGAATTACTTGTCAGTTAATTTCGAAGTTGCAGAAATGATAAACATTTTCAGGAAGAGTTAGTCGATGCCGCTGAATTAGCTGAAGACCTGGAAATCTAGGCAAAGTTTAGATTTTCTTTGTCGTCATGAATACAATTATTATATATATATATATATATATATATTTTCCACTTAAATTAAGTTAAAGGTGCTAACTAATTTAAGTGAAAAATGGATTTTCCCGATTCTCGCACCCGGCTTTTTAATCTTTTACTCATAATTTTAATATATTTGCCAAAAAGGATCCTATGTTGGTGTTATCGAATAATTTTTTTTATTTTCGAATTGTTCCAGTTTTTTGTACACCTATAGTTTTTAAAAAATTATAAGTAATTTTTCTAAAAATCATTGTGTATTGTTATTTTAATTTTTTATATTTTTAATTAACACATTGTTAACACGGTACTGGTGAATCACCACTGCAGTGGTAATAAAAAAAAAGATAAAATTGATATTGTAATTTATAAGTAATTTGTAGTATTTTTTGAAAAATAATACAAAAACAATTATTTTCAACCTAAAATTTTGTAACAAATACCTATATATACAGGGGAATCCAACAAAATATCAAGCAAGATGACAGATGACAGGTAAACCATATACAGGGAGACTCAACAAAAAATCAAGCAATATAAAATATAAAGGGGGATAAAATAACTCCCTTATAGAAAAAGCTCAATTACACAGTAAATTTATCGCAATATTAATTAACACGTAATTATGTATTTTTTTACATTATATGACTCATAAGTTATGACTCATAAGTTATGAGTCATACCTTATGAGTCATAAGTCTATAGAAGTACTTCATATTATTAGGGCTGGATGATCCTGTGGACGAGTTCGTGCTGTGCATGACGTCACTCGATGAGTAGTTGCCGAGCTAATACACGAATAATAGTAATATTTTCAAAGAAAATAGAGAAATATCTGGACATATTGCCTTTTTATTAAACATGATATTGAAGAAAGTGTTGTAATATGGATGATAGATGCTTTCAGTCCGAGCGGTCTTAACGTTAATATGGCATATAACCACTGTTTGCACAAATCAAAGTTTTTCGGGAATCGATTAAATTAAATGTTATTATTTAAAGGGTTTTTCTTAGGCTGGTTGTCCGAATTGCATACAAATATGCCACACCGCATTTTAATAAATAAACAAGTTAACGCAACACAAAAACAATAATAAACAAACATAACAGGTTAACACAACGCAATAACAATAATTTTAACATTGAAAAGTAATTCGAACCTTACCAAACGCAAAAACAACAAGTTATACAAAAAAAACAGAGTAAGTCAACAACCAACAGCATCGCAAAAACAAGAATTTTAGCAGCAGATAATTAAAACGCACTTTACAGATTTAAAGATACTGAACGAGTGACGTATTTAAGCCCCGCCCAACATGCGCACCATCCTATCTTA